ACTGCCCATAGACTCGACACTACCCATAGACTCGGCACTGCCCATAGACTCGACACTGCCCATAGACTCAAAACTACCCACAGACTCAACACTGCCCAGTGACTCAACACTGCCCAGTGACTCAACACTACCCATAGACTCAACACTGCCCATAGACTCGACACTACCCATAGACTCGGCACTGCCCATAGACTCGACACTGCCCATAGACTCAACACTACCCACAGACTCAACACTGCCCATAGACTCAACACTGCCCATAGACTCAACACTGCCCATAGACTCAACACTGCCCACAGACTCAACACTGCCCAGTGACTCAACACTGCCCATAGACTCAATACTGCCCATAGACTCAACACTGCCCATAAAACTCAACACCGCACCTCCGATTAGCGCTGCTGGATACGAATGGTGATCAACATACAACACGCACGAGCTTCACTGACTGCGCTGCCACCTGAACGAGCGATTGGATGGCGTGCGGCCACTTTCACCGTCTCTAAGTGGAGGGGGCGGGCGGCGCTTGTTCAAGCCTCACCTGAAGTTGCCTCACGACGTGCCTCATCTCCATCCCGCAAACCCTGGGCGAGGAAGAGCCTGCGGCTCACGGCCCAACGCTTCATTTCACACGGCCCACGTTAACGCCCCTGGAGACGAATGCGAGCCAGTGGCTATGAGATGTTAACTACCTCGCCTGGTATACAGGAGGTCGTGGATTCGATGCCGACCATGACGATGCCTGCTGCTGTTTATTTAGAGTTTGCGGTGTCCCTCCCATCACCATCATCACGGTGGCTTGGAGATGTTAACTACCTCGCCTGGTATACAGGAGGTCGTGGGTTAGATCCCGACCCCTGACTCCTGCTGTATATTTGGAGTTACGTCTCTCCTCCACATTTAAAATCGACATCATCACGAGTATTTGGCTGCTGTTATACATTTCCACGTGATGATAATGAAGCCACTTTGTTGAGCTTTCGTTTGTGATAGCCAGGTCAGGGCTTCTGAAAGAGAGCTATAAAGTTAAGTGGACCTTACCTGGTAAAATAGATAGTTTATAGTTTAGTTTTTTTATTATTATTTCTCCGTCACTGCCAGCGTCTCGCCCGCACTAATCGTGCGCTAGAGGGGAAGATTTTTTTCCCCCAACGATAGCGCCATGTGGCCTAACTCTAAACTCCATCGGCACTTCACATCGTGGCTGTGCGATCATAGAAGGCTACGACTGCGTTGTGCGCTGGAGTCCATTGCTACGGTTGCAGTCGTCATCGCCGTCGTCGTCATCATTGTCGTTGTCATTGTTGTCATCATCATTGTCGTCATCGTCATCATTGCCGTCATTGTCGTCGTAGTTGTCATTGTCGTCGTAGTTGTCATCGTTGTCGTGAGAATCGCGAGGCCGAACGAGGTACCGCTGCGTCCGAACAGACGCACGGCCTCAGGCGGCCTCAAGCGACGGTGACGTTGCCGCTGTGGCCCGCACAGCGGTCGCGTTCCAGACCGACGTTCCGGCGTGTCAGTCGCCACCCCCTCCCGCCTACAGCGAGACGCGGGGCGCAGTTCCACCGTCGTGGTCTGATCGGGACGACGACTCACAGCGGCTGCCCTACTGGCGCACACTCCTGCCAACTGGCAGGCCAGGTGCTGGGTCACGTTGTGACGCACAGGGGCAGCTGCCGCTGGGGGTGCCATTTTAACTGTCCTGAGAGGAGATGAGAGGTCTCTCGTCACTGTGTCTGAAGCACTCTGCTCTCTCAAACACAAAGCTCATTGCTGTTGTCGGGTTACTGTTGTTAGAATGCTCAGGTGTATGCGTGTGTGTGTGGAGTAGTAGTGTTAGACTTTAGCTTGCTGCGCTACGAACTCGGCAACCCGAGATTGATTCCCGCTAACGGCCAACACCAGTGACGATTTTCTGAACCTGTCCTGGGCCTCCTCCCCTAGGTCGACTCAGCCTCAATTGAATACCTGGTGCAGTGTGCAAACACAGCCACTAGAGATACAAAGGTGGCCGGGCGTGGTGCTGGCCACTCACCTCCTTGTGTGCGGTTCCAGTCTTCAAAGGTGCTCGTTAACAGCACTTGCCCCAACAGTCTGTTAAGGCTATACGGGGGTCTTTGTTTTATTGTGTATGTGTTCATGTGTGGGGGAGCGGTGGCACAGCAGTTGGCGCAGCGCTACGAACCCGACGACTCGAGTACGATTCCCCGCTGATGATCAATAAGACCAGTGGCGAATATCTGAACTGGTTACACTGGACTCCTCCCCTAGGTCGACTCAGCCTTTAATGAGTACCTGGTGCGATGTGTAAAAAAAAAAACATCGCCAACTGGGGGAGACAAAGGCGGCCGGGGGTGGTGCTTAAGTGCCACAGTTCTGGCCTTCACAGCCCCTGCTTCTCGCAAACAGCACTTGCCCCAACAGTCTGTGAAGGCTATACTGGTAGGGATCTTTGTCTTGAATGTGTGACCTGTAAAATACCTTTTGTAAGTCCTGGTGGCTTACTCAGCTGAAGCGGATTTTTGGTTCCTCGCAGCTGAACTCACCGGTTCCACCCCAAGCGCATCTCTTGCCGCTGGCGAGATTCCAGGGTTCAATACACGGTGTCTGTTGTTGTTTGTGTGTTTCTTTAATGTTTCGTGCAATAATTAAGTAAATAAATAAAGTGAGTATTATTTTTCTGTGAGCGTGGACTGTCTCCGGGGGTGCGTGCCTACGACGTCGTCGTCGTCGTCATCGGCGTCGTCGTGGGTGTCGCGATGTCTGGCCTGGTGGCCCATTGTCTTGCAGAGGTTCACGGATGCAAACCCAGCAGGCTGCCCCGATAGTGACCGTTAAAATAGTGCCGTGTATAGTAGTGTCGTGTATAGTGTAGTATATAGTAGTGTGTTTTAGTGTGTAGTGTATAGTGTATTATAGCGCAATGTGTAGTGTCTAGTTTATTGTAGTGTATTGTAGTGTATTGTAGTGTAACGTATGTTGAACTTCTTTCACACCATACGTATCCAACCGTGCTAATTGGAGGTGCGGAGAGAATCACAACAAACTAAACACAGAAAGCAGTCCTAGAGAAATGAGGTTGTCAATCTAGATGATGATTTAAGAGTGTATCCCAGTGGCTTTATAATATCGGAAGAGCATTCCAGACGGCTGCAGAGACAGTATGTCTGAAAGCGCCGCATGACGACGATGCGGTGACCACCGTTTTTGTTCGATGGTTTAGCCAAAAGCGTCTGCTGCTGCGAGGATGATGACCACCTGAGTTGGTGTGATGATGGTTTATAGCTCCTTGACGAAATTCGCTTCATGAAACTGAGTTTATTATGATTTAATATTTAAACCACGGTCTGCCCACTCATTCTGTGTGACACTGGGTGCGGCGAGGTTTGTGGGCAAATCCCTCTGCAGAGCTGCGCTTAACCGCACCCACGCGTATCAGGGTGGCTTTTTGTGCCGGTATCAAAGTGATGAAAAATAATAATAATAATAGGTTTTACCCTTTCTAGCAAAGGAATCAAGTCTGCATTAACCACACGAAGTACTTGTGGCAAAACATGCTCTGAAGATGATGATAATAATGTTACATGTGTAGTCATGTAACACATTCCTGCGGAGGGAGCTGGTAGAAACGTTGTGTTGCTCTGTCAATGGCCAGGGTCAGCGGCGGCGTGGTGTATTCCGCAAATATGCCCGACTGTGAGGGCGGGCACAAGCCGGCGTGAGTAGGTTAAACGTTGAGTTTTATAAGGGCACCACGGGGTGAGCAGCCCCTCCCTACCCAGCCCCACCCTCCACCCAGCCCAACCCTCCCCTCCCCATCCAGCCCCTCCCGCCCCTTCCCACCCTCGCCTCCCCACCCAGCCCCTCCCTGCACGACGGACACAATAATCCCCTGTGGGCTGCTGTAACCAGGAAGTTCTTACCAGCAAAATGGATCACAACGGCGCATAGCGCTGAGTGCAGTATAACAAGGAAATATGAGGACAGAGGTTAGCACACCGTGCAGTACCGCAGTGGGTCACTGAGGGCGTGGTACCGGGTGCTAACAGAAAGAGTCAAAGGAGCCCTACCGACAGAATAGGGAATAGCAGCCACTCCGCCAGCGCAGCGAGGAATTGCCGCATTATTGGCCACGAGGGAACGTGGTGAGGGCTGCTGGCGGAGGGGGGATGTGAGGACGAGTCACTCCGGCTCCGGGTGAAGTGCGTGATGGGCTGGGGTGAGGGGTTGGGGGATCAGGTGACCGAGGGGGATACGATCAGTGTAGCCGAGAAGCTTTTGGAGAGTTGTCGCATGTGCGAGGTTGTCGGAATCTTCAGAAATGTTCGAGGAGGGCGCGGCCGAGGGTGGAGCCAGGTCGCGCCGAGAGGGATAAAAGGGTAACCCCGATCGCATATCAGGGCTGTCCGTGGGTGAAGTGGAACCGATGTGCTACGTCTCCATCTTCGACATCGTGGGTCAGTCAGCACGTGGCTGGTCTGACCCGATTGTAGTTATCCCGTATAGGAAAGAGATCGGTGTATTATAGTCCCGTGGGTAACAAGAGTGAGGGACAGGCGTATTAGTCCCGTGTGTCACGGTGTCGTCTTGTCGTGTAGAATAAACGTTGTTGCCTCCTAATAGTGTCTCTGAAATGATTCACTGCACATGCATTGGCTTTGAAACTGATTGGCCGACACCGGAGACAGCAGCCTTCTTCATGGCCTCGTCTCTGTACCAGGGTTAGACCAGAGAACAACGCCAAAAGGCGAACAGTACAAGGGCAATGCAAGCATCAGAACACGTATCGCTTGGGTCGAGCAGCTATATCCGTGGGGGATATTTTTGCCAGTATAAAAATGATGACAATAAGAATAGGTGGTGTTACCCTTTCTGGCAATAAAACCGGAGTTGTGTTGAGATGTTCAAACACCAAATAGGCACACACCTATTGCAAGGCAGTCAAGTCTGCATTAACCGCAAACAGTACTTGTGGTGAACATTCAAACAAACGCGCGTTTCATTTGCACTAAATTTTATTTGAATTTGGTGATCATACGTTTGTGTATGTATATATGTACGTGTGCGTGCGTGTGTGTGTGCGGGGAACGGTAGTGGTGTCGCGATTCGCGCTGCCCTACGAGCCCGAGCTTAATTCTCGCTCACGGCCAACACCAGTGAGGATTATCAGAAGCGATGCTGGGCCTCCCTTAGGTAGACTCAGCCTCAAATGAGTACCTGGTGCTGTGTGTGGTAAACATCGCCACTAGGAAGACAAAGGCGGCCGGGCGTGGTGCTGGCCACCCACCCCCTCGTGTGCCGTGCCGGCCTTCATAGGTGCTGCTCGCTAACAGCTCATAGCAGTCTGTTACAGTGCGTTGATGTGTGGGGAGCGGTGGCACAGCAGTTAGCGCGCTGTGCTACGAACCCGCCAACCCGCGTTAGATTCCCGCTCACGGCCAATCAACACCGGTGACGATTTCCTGAACCGGTGCTGGGCCTCCCCTAGGTCGACTCAGCCTTTAAATGAGTACCTGGTGCGGTTCCACCCAACATCGCCACTGGGGGAGACAAAGGCGGCCGGGTGTAGTTGCTGGCCACCCCATCCTCCCCCCCTCATGCGCCACAATGCCCGCCCTTTATAGGCGCTGCTGTTTCTCGCTACTAACAGCACTTGCCCCAAACGTCTGTTCAAGGCTACACGGGGGACCTTTGTATTTGTGTGCGGAGCGTGTATGTGAGTGTATGCTAAGGAATCGTGTAGGAGTAATACACGTGGGGGGGGGGATAGGGGGGGGGAGACGGCGATTTAGAAAAGGAGAAGATTTCACAGCGCCGGGTGCTGCTGTTCGGCAAAAGACTCCATCCTCCTCGTCCCTGCTGATCACGACGCGAACCCTGCAAGCCAAGGGGAACGGCACGGGGTGAGCATTTTGATGGCACGGAGCCAGCAGTGCGGTGGTGGACGACATTACACTATACACTACACTATACACTACACTATACACTACACATTAGACTATACACATTACACTATACACTACACTAATCACTACACATTACACTATACTTTACACTATACACTACACTATACATTACACTACACACTACACTATACACTACACATTAGACTATACACATTACACTATACACTACACTATACACTACACTATACACTACACATTACACTATACATTACACTACACACTACACTATACATTACACTATACACTACACATTACACTATACACTACACTACACATTACACTATACATTATACTATACACATTACACTATACATTACACTACACACTACACGTTACACTATACATTACACTATACACTACACTATACAGTACACACTACACACTACACTATACATTACACTATACACTACACTATACACTACACACTATACTATACATTATACTATACACATTACACTACACACTACACTATACACTACACACTACACATTACACTATACACTACACATTATACTATACACATTACACTACACTATACACTACACTATACACTACACATTACACTATACACTACACTATACACTACATAATACACTATACACTACACATTACACTATACACTACACTATACACTACATATTACACTATACACTACACATTACACTACACATTACACTATACACTACACATTACACTATATACTACACATTACACTATACACTACACATTACACCATACACCACACATTACACTATACACTGCAATACACTATACACTACAATACTATGCACTAGTATACACTACAATACACTCCACTCCAATACACTGTACACTACAATATACTATACACTACAAAACACTATACACTAGTATACACTACAATATACTCCACTGATATACACTACAATAAACTACTACACACTACAATACACTATACACTAAAATATACTATACACTACACTATATACTACACTACTATACACTACACTAACATACTAAATAAAAAAACTATTTTTTTTTATAACTGCCCATTGTGTGTAGTTTGTTGTCCCCCCCCCCCCCCGCACCTTCGTTTAGCACGATTGGCTACGTGTGTACGGTGGTGTGAAAGAAGTTCAACGTACACAAACACACGTACGTATACGCAGTGCCGGATGAAGCTAGTGTGGGGACTGTAGCATATGTTATAAAGGGGCCCAAAATAAAATAAAATAACACGTAAATATTAAAACACTAAATTTCGATTTAAAGCTTTCGTGACTGCAGGGATTCATCTTCTTGGTTCTTTCGGTAAAGTCACGTAGAATGGAAATAATAAAATAATAAAAATGAAACATCATAAAATAATTCTAACGACGTTTCGGCCACAACGCAAGCAGCCGTCCTCAGGTGGAGAACAGGTCTGTCGAGAAGACAGAGTCTGAATGAAACAGCACCATGCTTGGAGCGTCTATTTAAGCTGGGATGGAGGGGGGAAGAGCGCCTTGACAAAATAATTTGCATATCAAGAGGAATTTAGCATATGTATGGGAAATGCAGATATGCGATTAGTACTACTTGTGAAATGCGTAGGAGGTTTGGCGGGGGGTTTAAAGTCATATTATGCCCGTGCATTATGCAGGATTAGCAGCATCAAAGGGAGGAGATAGGGGTAACATTAATAAAGGGAAGGAATGTTAATAGTATGTGGCTGCAGTAACTAAACCACCACGTAAACAACTAAAGTATAAATTACATAGTATCATCAGTATACTAAATATACTCTCCAATAAGCTGAGCTACTAACAGTAAGTAATACATTACAATGCTATGTCGCAAAAATATAATATGCTTCCAGCTAAACTGTATTCTCTTACATCACACGAGTCTACACCGTACTATATACTGCCATAGACAAACCCAACATTAAATTATATACTGTATTACTATACACCACCTTATACATTGTAATATTACACTATGTATTATTCTACCCACCCTACTGTATATCACACTGCTGTATATTCACTATACAATTACGATACAATATATTACTTTGTACATTGCATTAAAAATTACAATTATATACTATTTATTATTATACAATCCGCTATACACTATACCATTGACCGTCGTGTGAAAGATACTAAGAGGAAGCAACGACATATGTCAATGGGAGAGTGGTGGTAGGAGACTTGCAGTGGAGCAAAGAATCCATTCCCTGCGGAGAATACAAGATATATAGTCAATGCCAGTGAGTGGACTGCGGTCTGAAAGTCACCGTAAACGTGAACACAATCAGTTAAGATCCAAAATGGTTTATTACGTCCTTCCAATGATTGCTGAGCCAGAATCCTGCCTTTGATGCTGTTAATCCTGCATAATGCACGGGCATAATATGACTTTAAACCCCCCGCCAAACCTCCTACGCATTTCACAAGTAGTACTAATCGCATATCTGCATTTCCCATAAATATGCTCAATTCCTCTTGATATGCAAATTATTTTGTCAAGGCGCTCTTCCCCCCTCCATCCCAGCTTAAATAGACGCTCCAAGCCTGGGGTGTGTCATTCAGACTCTGTCTTCTCGACAGACCTGTTCTCCACCTGAGGACGGCTGCTTGCGTTGTGGCCGAAACGTCGTGAGAATTATTTTATGATGTTTCATTTTTATTATTTTATTATTTCCATTCTACGTGACTTTACCGAAAGAACCAAGAAGATTAAAACACTAATTTTTAACTTGCATAGTAAAGTAATTGTATTTTTTTTATTTGCTATACAGCCAGACAATATGACAAATCCCTAACCTTAAACACCCAGTCGTTCATAAAAGTTGAAGGCAGTATAGTACTATAGTAATAGAGCAAGTGCAGAATCACTTAACCGGAATTGATAGATTGAAAAAAGCATTTAGCGAGGGCACTTGAATGTGCGGGGCCCGTAGCTACATATGTAGCTACTTTTACTACTATAGGGCCGTGCATAAATGATGTCACGCACCTAGGGGGGGGGAGGGGTCAGACATTTGTGACGATGTGTGACGAGGGGGGGGGGGGGCTTTGAGAAATGTGACGTCACATCAAAATGCGCAACTTTAAATTAATATAGACAACACGTTATACTTAATTAAATAGACTTTTTAATAAATGTTGTCTCCTACAAAATCAGAGTGCAGCGCCACATTAACTACGCACTACAATGACAATATTCTTAGTTTTTTTCGGTAAAGTCACGTAGGTAAAACATTAAAATTAATAAAAGTAAAATAAAATAAAAATCACGACATTTCGGAAGCTTGTGTTGCCTCCGAAACGTCGTGATTTTTATTTTATTTTACTTTTATTAATTTTAATGTTTTACCTACGTGACTTTACCGAAAAAACCTAAGAATATTAATCCTTGCAGTCACGAAAGCTTCAAATCTAGAAACAATGACAATAGTTTAAAGCGATTTGAAGCAAGTTTTATTTGGGGGGGGGGGAGGGCAGAGCTTTGTGACGTCATTTTTGAGGGGGGGTCTGACTTTTTGTGACGCCGTGTAACGAAGGGGGAGGGGGTAAATAATCGGGTGACGTCATTTATGGACGGCCCCTATGATCATCGGTCACTGCGTACACTCCGAGCGCTGCTACCTGCCGGCGGCGGCGGCAGCAGCAGCGTGGGGAGGAGCGCGGCGGTTACTCCGGCATCGCCGCTCGGCGTGGCCGGACCATGGCGTCGCGCTTCAACCTGCGGGACCACGAGGCCGGAGAACGGCAACAAGGGGGGGGGGGGGGGGGGGGACAGGTGAACGACGGCCACGCGCTCGGCAAAAACGTTGGGCGAACGTTGGGTTCAACATTGAGCTAACATAGCCGGAGTGTTCGTTGAGTCTGTGGGCAGTGTGAGTCTATGGGCAGTGTTGAGTCTGTGGGTAGTCATTTACACTATGAGACATCTCCTTTACCAGTGGCAAAATATAGTAGTAGGTTTTTACCCTTTCAAATGGTACAAAAACTGACACCTTTATACAAGGCATAATGTTTGCAATAACCACAACACAAGCAGTCAAAATGCAAACAAAAATAAACTCTGATGATGATAATGATATGCACTGTCCTTGAAGTTGATTGGTCCACACCCGAGACAGCTTTTCTTAGAGCCTAGTCTCCATTGGTGTTGGACCAGATGACGCCAAAAAGCGTACAACTCAAAGACAGCGCACTATCAGAGTATTGAGAGCTCAGGGTAAGCATTTACACTATGAGACATCTCCTTTACCAGTGGCAAAATATAGTAGTAGGTTTTTACCCTTTGTATAAAGGTGTCAGTTTTTGTACCAGTCGCGGACTGTGCTTTACCTTCCTGTTTTATATACTCGTCTATTGCCCTTGCAAGGACGGGTGTATTGCAGTAAATCTGAAACTTGCAAGTGAAAAGCAGACCGCTCAGTGATATTCATTGCATTAATGCGTGTGCAATGTGTAAGGGCGCGGTGACACAGAGCTATTTCATTTTTTAAGGTTATAATCCCTTATTCATCATGACGTCCTTTTTACTTTGATGTCTCAAAAGCGTTACGGAGATTGCATGATGTGAGGGTTCTGCCTTTGTAGTGAGGGTTGTGAGTTGACGCCGAGGAGGGGGGAGGAGGCGCCTCGGCCCCCCATGTGGAGTGACGTCACCTGCTCATGATTATTAATGAGGAGGGGGGGTCCATGTGGAGGACGTAACTTGTTCATGATTATTAATGATGGGGGGCTGGTGGTCGACGTGGAGTGACGTCACGATCATTGCACACGGACATTTTTGGCTCATAGTAGGTAATAATAATGGGAGGGTTGTCCATTTGGAGGACGTCACCTGCTCATGATTATTAATGAGGGAGTCTGTTCGATGTGGAGTGACGTCACTTGTGCATAATTATTAGTGAGGGGGAGGGGAGTACTCCATATTGAGTGACGTCACCCGCTCATGATTATTAATGAGGGGGGCTGGTCGATGTGGAGTGACGTCGCGAGCGTTAAGGACAGACATTCCTGGGTGATTATAGGAGGTATTATTCATTCTAAAGCGATTTTCCATAACGCGGTATTCTTCAGGAAGGCAACAGCTACCACCGCCGCGTTATAGGAGAACAAGGGAGACTGAGAAACGAGAGAGGTGGAGTGAACGTGAAGCCGGCAGAGCGTTAAGGGGGAGAGCCCAAGCGTGAGAAGAGTTAATGTGGAGATCGGAAAGAATGGATCAACATGCAAGGCCCTCTTCCTCCTCCTAAGCTGGGCCCTAAGTTAAAACGACGAACTATTTTATTTGACCAGGTAAGGGCCCCACTGAGCTGCGTAGCTCTTTTTTCAGAAACGACGCTGGCGATCACAAATGATCGCTCAACGAAGTGGCGGCTTAGCAGCATCATCATCATCACGTGGAGATGTAGAGCCAATTACTCTGAACGCATGACTTCGATTCTCAACGTGTAGGGGGAAACCGGGGGACCTGGAGAAATATCCACACTACCACGGGGAGAGAAAGAGAGACACACAGACTCCAAATATACAACAGCAGGCATTGTCAGGGTCAGGATGGAACCCTCGACCTCCTGTATACCAGGCGACGTAGTTATCACGGTGGCTAGGAGATGTTAGCTACCTCGCCTGGTATGATTATGAAAGAGAGAGACATGCAAACTGCAAATATACAGCAGGCATCGTCGGGGTCAGGATCGCACCCAAGAACCTCCTGCATACCAGGCGAGGTAGTTAATATCTCTTAGCCACCGCGGCGGCCTCACCAGGTAAGTGGTAAAAAGTGAGTTTCGTGGAGGAGGGCGACTCCAGCAGACGCTCACCTTTTGTCGGGTTGAGGCACATGGCGCACGCTGAAGAGGGCGGGGTGAGATACAAGGGAAAGATTTTTACCAACGCAGGCCGTGACGGTAGTTCTCTGTGCTGCAGGATGACGCAATGGTTAGTGTTGAGTCTATGGGTAGTGTTGAGTCTATGGGTAGTCCATATTATTTGGTTCTTTTGGTAAAGTCACGTAGATGAAATATATTGAAAGAAAAGCAATAGCTTTAAGCACGCTAAAACGTCTGCTTGGTTTAGATATGTGGATGACACATTGGTGGTCTGGCCACACGGCAAAGATACACTGAACGTATTTCCAAATCATCTCAACTCGCAAAACCTATCCATCCAGTTCACTATGGAAGTGGAAGCTGACAGAACTCTACCATTTCTGGATATTCTGCTCGGACGGGGTAGAAATGGTAAACGAACACACGGTATTTACCGAAAGAAAATGCATACTGACGCCTATCTTAATGCATCGTCACACGATCACCCCGCACAGAAATCTGCTCTTATCAAGACGCTCATTCATCGAGCTAAGAAAGTGTCAGATGGTGAAATAAGTACAGAATAAGTGGTCTTACCAGTGATATTTACATTAAACATCTTTCACACTATACGTAGCCAACCGCGTGAATCAAATGGGTGGGGGAAGGACAACACACTAAACACAAAAACTGTTTGAAAGAAATCAGTTTGTCAATCTCGGGGATGATTTAAAAGTGCATAGCTTTAGCAGCTTTCTAATATCGGCAGGAAGAGCATTCAAGATGACCGCAGAAGCGCATCTGAAAGTGCAACGCGATGATGCGGTGACCACCATCTTTGTTCGACGGTTTAGCCAAAAGCCGCCGCTGCTACTGTTGCTGCGATAACGACCACAGAGTTCACGTGATAGAGATGGTTTATTGCTCCTTGACGAGATCCAGCGACTGGGCAACGCAAATTACCTCGAATCGTGATTTCCTCCCATTTTGGCTTCTTTCGAATCTTTCTCCTGTAAAAAAAAAGCATTCCCATTATCACAAGTGCGACATCGTATATCTGTATGCACGTGTGTACCAATCTTGATTTGAAGCTTTAGTGACTGCAGAAATCCATACTCTTTGGTTATTTCGGTAAAGTAACGTATTTCTAACTACGTGACTTTACCAAAAGAACCAAACAGCACGTGTATACCATATATGAGGAGCGGTGGTGTCGTAGCGGTTATCACTATGCTGTTTCAACACGTAGTAGTGCTTTTGCGACCAATATTATCCATAATGGAGGCGTTTTAGGGGTGTCCCCCCCAATATATATATAATAATTACGGCCTTGGTGAGTACGGTGACGTTTTGCCAGTAATTAAAACTAGCATCATCAGGCAGACAGCCAGAGTTGGCTTACTAATTGGCTGTGTCGGGTGGTGGCGGGTTTAACGACACATTTACGCAATCTCACCCAAAAACCGTTGTTGTGGATAGCGCTACGCTGCGCTACGAATACGGGCAACCGAGTTCGATTCCTGCTCACGGCCACCGACACTGGTGACGATTATCTGAACCGGTTCTGGGTCTCCCCTTGATCGACTCAACCTCAAATGAGCACCTGGTGTAGCGATGTGTAGTAAACATCGCCACCAGGGAGACAAAGACGGCCAGGCGTGCGGCTGGCCACCCACCCCCTCGTGTGCTGTGCCAGCCTTCATAGGTGCTGCTTGCTAACAGCACCTGCCCCAACAGTCTGATGAAGGCTTTACGTGGGATTTTTTTTATTTACCGTATATGACAAGGTGGAAACATCGCATAGGCGTGTAACTTTGTAACGCTTTAATGGTGGTTTGCGTTTGACAGAGGCGTTCTCATAATCGCCAGGGTCCCATGGTGGCTAGGAGATGTTAGCTACCTTGCCTGGTATACAGGAGGCCATGGGTTCGATCCCAATCCTGACACCAGCTGTATATTTGAGTTTGCGTGTCTCTCTCCTCGTGGTCGCGTGGATTTCTCACATTTAGAATGGACATCACGCGTTGAGAACATTTGGCTGTTGTTATCAATTTCCACATGATGATGATGAAAAGCCCACTTAGCAAAGCTATCATTTATGATGGCCAGATCGCTTCTGAAAAATATCCTACTTAGCTCAGTTGGGGCCTTGCCTGGTAAACAAAAACATCGTAGTTAAAATAGTTGAACAGTATCTGGACATCTGTGAAACTACTAAACATATGTGGGAAAAGAGCTTCATAGCTCATCGGATTAAAAAAAATGTCTCTTCTGACAAAGATTCTGAGTCTGTCGGAGTGCTTTAACATCTCACATCAACGCATTTTCAAAGGGGACAGCTGGCTGGAAAAATGGTCTTCACAATAAAAGTTCGTTTATGGGCTTAGATGGCGTATGAATGTACAATGTTGTGTCGTTAACCCATCGCCACAACCACCACCCGACACAACCCATCAGTTCGGTGCTTGTGAAGTACCCGTCGAGGACGCTTGACAACGGAGTTGAGGCACACGTATATTTATTTAACAAGTTGCCAGTACAGGACAGCACTAGAGGGGGTAGCGGCCCCCTCACCCGTATAACTCAGGGAATACCCCTAGCTATCCATAGCCTATCCCCTGAGTCCTCCACTAAAGAGCTAGGGGAGGCTGTCTGGCCCGACACTGGTAATCGGGCTACGGTACCCGGAGTCCCAGAGCACTGGCTCTGGTTCACGGGACCACGCCGCTGGCTCGAGCCTGATCCCGTGGGGCCCTGATAAGGGCGGCGATCAGGGGGAGTCCAGGGCTCTAGCTACGACGTCTTCCGACTTCTTAGCTTAACTATAACATAACTGACTAAGCCCATATAACGACCCCTTTTTATACCCAACCCTCCTTGAGGGGTGGGGCCCCGGGGGATCGTAACGCCGAACCAGCCCCCCCCCAGGGTGTCTGGCTCGGACGTCGCAGAGGGCATCTCCCTGTGCACACACGTAGCCCCGCCCACTGTGTTTCTTTCCCATAGGCTGCCATGCATAACGGCCCTCTCTCTAACATCCCTACATCACTCCCCCCCGCATAGCTCGCAGCCGTCCCGGCTGCAACAATTTCAACAAATGAATCTTTACCCCTTGACTCCCCCCGTGTGTGCCCCATTTTTTCATTTAACAGAACGAGAATTGAACAACAACACTAACAATGCCCCTAAAGGGAGAACAAACCGACGCGCCCCCCCCCCCGAATAAATACGAAATCCGTAGAGGCAAGATATGTACATTTCCCGGAACCCTCAGCGCACACACAACACGCACACAAGACGCACACACACACACAGCCATAATACAACAACGCGCCAAGAGCGCCACACGAACGCAGCGTCCAGTAACAATAGCACACGAAAGTGTACCAGAAAACGCAAAAAAAATAAAAAAAATTTTTTCTTATTTTCGTTTCGTTTTCACTTCTTGTTCGCGTTCCAGTGTTTTTATAAGAGTCTGCGCATTTTAGCGCGCGTCCTTGCCGCAGGCCCGTCACAAGGGCCAACCTCAGATGGCGGACCATTCGGTGGCCGCTGTCCCATCCGAGGCGAGTCCGCAATTGGAGTGGCGGGACCCTCGGCATCCCCCGTGAGGGATGTGCGCGAGCCCGTCATTCCGGGAGAACCTGGGGGCGGGGCAACCGGCAAGACGTCAGGTGAGATCAACAGAGGCGGACCCTCCGGGTCGGTCGACCCCTCACATGCTTGGCCCTGCGCGTGTGGAGCAGAGCCCCGCACCGCAACGAAGGGTTTTAGTCTAGAGGGGTGAACGAACCACCGGCGCCTCCCCCACTTGATACGAACGCACTGCGGTCGCAAAACCTCGACCACCTCGACGGGGCCCCGCCATGGCCGTACCAGTTTCGAGGAGGTCACAAGCGGTACCTGGGGACAGTGCAGCCATGCCCTGTCCCCTGGCTTCCACTGCAGCACGTGCGCGCGCGCGAGTCTGAGGCGCTCATTCGCCTTTTGGCGCATGCGGGAATTGAGCATGGCAGGATCCCGCGCCTCAGTTAGCTTTTGAAGGTTAAATTTAACGTGCTCGTCCAATTTTATTTTACCTAGAGGCGCGGGGATCTGCAGCTGTGCCCGAACAGGTGGGTCATGTTCGCGACCATACATGAGAAAGAAGGGTGAAAATCCCGTGGCAGCATGGGGGGCCAATCGATATGCTGCCAGGACCCCTTGAATTTGCAAGTGCCAATTGGTCTGTGACTCCGAAACCAGGTGCGACAACATAGACGTGATGGTACGATGCAGACGCTCGACCATCCCGTCAGTTTGTGGGTGATAGGGAGAGGTACGAATCTTCTTTGTACCTAGGAGATCACAGACTTGTTTGAGGAGGTTCCCGGAAAAATTTTTACCCTGGTCGGTCAGCAGCCGCTCCGGAGCACCTTTGTCCATGACGTAGCCTTGGACAAAGGCGTCCACGATGGCTGCTGCCGACTGATTTTCCAGGGGCCAGGCCATAGGCCAGCGTGTGAAGTATTCGACCCCTGTTAGCAAATATCTATTGCCCCTAGGGGTGGCGGGAAACGGCCCCAGGATATCCAACGCTACGAGTTCGTTCACCCTGGAGACTGTGATGGACTGCAACGGCGGGTTCGACTCCCGAGCTGGTGGTTTGCGTTGCGCACACCGGGGGCATGCTGCCAGCAGATCCGTGACATCCCGTGTCATGCCCGGCCAAAAAAAATCCAGCTGGAGCGAGGCGAGGGTCTTTTGGGTACCCAGGTGGAGGAGGCGCTCATGAGCAGCCCACACCACCTTACCCCGTAACCCCGCAGGAACTACCAGCCGGTGACGGTGGGATTTACCGTCCCAATGCATGAGCAAGCCTGCGTGTATTTCCCAATTGTCGGCATCACCCGTCCCACACCCCCTCTCCCTGGCGCGACGACGCAGCGCGAGGAGGGAGGCGTCCTCCATCTGGAGGCGTCCCCACTCAATCACAGGCAACCCAAGCAGGGAATCCCTTCCCTGTTTCCCGATCTCATCGGGGAGCGATGTGTCAACATCGGCGGCGGCCGCCAGGACTGGAACCGTCATGTCCCCAGCTGGCTTGCAACGCCCCGACCCCAGGAGGCATGCGCATTCGGAGGTGGTTGGCATGCGCGACAGAGCGTCCGCATTTGTGTGGCGAATGCCCTTACGATAGGTGGTGTCAAAATCGAATTCCTGGAGGACCTCCAGCCATCGGGACAATTGTCCCGATGGCTGTTGAACCTTCAGGGCGTACTGCAGTGCCGCATGATCCGTACGGACAGTGAAATGCTGACCGTACAGATATGGGCGGTACTGTTGGATGAAGAAAACAATTGCCAACAGTTCTCTACGGGTGACACAATATTTTTGCTCCGCTGGAGACAACACCCGACTGCCGTACGCAACCACCCGTTCCACGCCATCAACCACCTGGGAAAGCACGCCTCCGATACCTGTGTTGCTCGCGTCGGTGTCGAGCAAAAACGGCCTCGAAAAATCGGGGTAAATCAAAGGAGGAGCCTTCACCAATGCATCCCGAAGGGAGCAGAAAGCTACTTCCTCATCCCGACCCCAGTGGAACCGAACCCCTTTTGATGTCAAAGCATGTAGGGGTTTGGCAATTGTAGCAAAATTAGCGACGAACCGTCGGTAATATGAAGCGAAGCCAATAAAACTCCTCACCTCCCCCACCGAGGTCGGAATTGGCCAGGAGCTGACACACTGCGTTTTGGCGGGATCGGTAGCAATACCCGAGCGCCCCACGATGTGCCCCAAATAACGCACTGACTCGCGAAACAAATAGCATTTTTGGGGCTTAAATTTCAAATTAGCAGCCCGCATCCTTTGGAAAACAGCCCGCAGCCTCTGGAGATGTTCGTCAAAGGTTCTTCCAAAAACAATTACGTCATCCAAATAAATCAGGCACGATTCCCATTGCAATCCAGCCAAAACCAATTCCATCAACCGCTGGAAGGTTGCCGGCGCTGAGTGTAAGCCCATCGGTAACCGGTTGAATTGGAACAGGCCGTGCGGTGTACGGAAAGCGGTTTTAGGCTTCGAGTCATCGTCCAGAGGAAGCTGCCAGAATCCCGAAAGTAAATCTAGTGTGGAGAAGAATCGCGCTCCCGCCAAGGCGTCCAGCGATTCGTCCATCCGTGGGAGCGGGTATGCGTCGGCAACCGAAACCTTATTAAGGCGACGGAAATCTACGCAAAACCGCAACGAGCCATCCTGTTTCTTAACCAGGACAATCGGTGCTCCCCAAGGGCTGGTAGAGGGAGAGATAATGTCGGCGGCTAACATGTCATCGACAGCCGATTTGACATGGTCCTTTTCGGCGGGACTCAACCGAAAAGGATTTTGGCGAATAGGCGCGCTGTCACCCGTGTCAATATGGTGACGCAGCAGGTGAGTACAACCCAAATCGTATTTATTCCGACTGAAAACGTCGGAAAATTCCTTTAGCAGCGATCTAAGCCGTTGGCGCTCTAAATTGGACAGGTTCGTCGATCCCGCACAAAGCGCGTCGAGCCACCCTTCATCGCCGTCCGAATGCGGGTGCGTCCGAGCAGCAGTGTCAATGTGGTTCACGGCAGGTTCCTCGCAGGGCACCGGCGTCGCGTGAGCGAGCACAGTCCCTTGGGGAACCACTACTGTCTGCGACCCGACATTGAGGACCGCGATGAAGGGATCCTCGTCCCCCCTTACGATGGTCTGGGCCGGAATTAAATGAGGCCCATTAACCCCGGCCCTAGACGGCCCCAGCACAACACCCTGATCCCCAACACCCTTAGCGAAGGGCCTACGAAGTTTAAGAGGTACCAGCATTTGTGCCCCCGGCGGCACACGCACTGTTTTTACGACGAACGCCGGTACCGTCGCGAACGCCGTCCGAGTCGCTACAGGGGAAGGCAGGAACGCCATACGTCGCCCCGACGGAAGCTCAATGCATCCTTGGTCGATCAAAATACGAATTGGCATCCTGCCCAAGAAGTCCGTCCCCAGCAGGCACGGAACTGCCAGTGAGGAGGAGACAAAAATCGGCCCCGACAATTTGATGTCCCCGATAGAAATTTGCGCTCGAATCTGTCCCACGATGCCGAGAGAGCCCCCGTTAGCGGCATAGAAAGGGACATTAACCGGTAGCAAAGGACGGCTCTGCACCGGTAGAATATTGTAAATTAGTTCCGAAATAATTGTCGCCGATGCCCCTGTATCGACTATGATGCGTACCTCCACCCCATCAATGTAACCGACCACGGCCGACGATCCCGACGCCGCGGCCACCACGCGATGGGCCAACACGGACCACCGCTCGGGCTCGATTTGAGTCCCCGCAGTGATCCGCGCCGGTCCATCGCAGCGCCCCACCGGCCCCCCGTTCGTTACGGTGCGAGAGTGTGCGACAGGTGGGTGCGTTGGCCAAACATGTGAGGTGCCGCGACTCGCCGGATCATGGTGCTGGAGCTTGGGAGGAGGAAGAGGAGGGCCGGCGTCCTGTCGAGGCGTCGTCCCCCGCTGTCGAGGAGAACGGCACCCCGAGGCGACATGGCCCCGGATGCCGCAGTTGAAGCACCGCGGGAGCGCCGATGGAGACGATGGACGGTCGAAACGCCTCGACCCGTCCCGACCCGGCCGCGCCCCCGTCGTCTGTTGCCGTCGATGGTCGACGGCATAAAGTTCTTCTGACGGAAGGGTGGCTGCAGCCACCGCACGCCCAGCCGATGCCCTGTTTGCCTTTCGCCGCTGCTGCAGAAGGTTGGCGTGGAGGAGTCGCGCAGCCTGGAGGGAGGTCATTTCTGCATCCCCTTGTGCGATGACGACGATGTCGAGGTCGTCCGCCAAGAGGAGGATCTTCTCCGCGACCATTGCGTCCACGCCGTCGTCGTCCATGCGGGGAAAGGCTGTTTTTGCCAGCGCCAGAAGACTTGTCCGGAAAGCCAGAGGCGACTCTTTTTCACCCCGCCTGCGATCGTAGAACTGCTGACGGCATTCGGCTGAAGGTCCATAGACCCCGGCCAGCAGCTGTAGCGCCATTGGTAGTGTAGCCCGCTTCTCTTTTGGCGCCGACGTGAGTGCGGCGAGCGCGTCCCCATCGAGGAGCGCCGGCAGCGCGCAAAGGGCCTCCTCGTCGGACCACCGCGCCATCTCCTGATGGGCGAGGAAGCGTCGCCGGAAGCCGCCCCAGTCACCCTCCGCACCGATGAATTCTTTCAGCGGGGGCAGTCTTTGGTGAAGCGCAGCGGTCGATGTGGACTCCCGCAGGTTGCTTTCACCTCCCTTTGGCGGTGCCTCGGCGCGACTGGCCGATGGCATCGCCTGTCGCGGCAGCGATGACGCATCCTTCGGCTGCGATGACGCTGCAGCCCCGGCGACGGCGATGTCGGAGCCGATGTCTAAGCTGGCCACGCCCCGAACAGCCGCGGCGTCCATGGCGGGAAATTCAAATTTTGAAGTCGCTGAAATGGCGGGAAAGTGCTCCGGCCGCCGGTTCTCCTCGCCCTGCGGTGGACCACCAGCCCCCAACCGCGTAATGCCTTCCAGTGTGGCGGCAGCGGCATAAAGTAGCTCCGCCAGCCGTTCGTGAGCCAGTCGTAGTGCATCTGGCTGCGGCCCCTCTCCATGCTGACGTCCCGGTGAGAAGGCGCCAGGCTCCGGCTGCACCCCATCTTGTTGCTCTGTCTCGGGCTCGGCGATTTCCGCGGCGTCCTCCTCTCGTGGTACCCTGGTCCGAGCTGTATGGCGCGTTTCCATTTTTACCACTTCTGACGCCAGATGAAGTACCCGTCGAGGACGCTTGACAACGGAGTTGAGGCACACGTATATTTATTTAACAAGTTGCCAGTACAGGACAGCACTAGAGGGGGTAGCGGCCCCCTCACCCGTATAACTCAGGGAATACCCCTAGCTATCCATAGCCTATCCCCTGAGTCCTCCACTAAAGAGCTAGGGGAGGCTGTCTGGCCCGACACTGGTAATCGGGCTACGGTACCCGGAGTCCCAGAGCACTGGCTCTGGTTCACGGGACCACGCCGCTGGCTCGAGCCTGATCCCGTGGGGCCCTGATAAGGGCGGCGATCAGGGGGAGTCCAGGGCTCTAGCTACGACGTCTTCCGACTTCTTAGCTTAACTATAACATAACTGACTAAGCCCATATAACGACCCCTTTTTATACCCAACCCTCCTTGAGGGGTGGGGCCCCGGGGGATCGTAACGCCGAACCAGCCCCCCCCCAGGGTGTCTGGCTCGGACGTCGCAGAGGGCATCTCCCTGTGCACACACGTAGCCCCGCCCACTGTGTTTCTTTCCCATAGGCTGCCATGCATAACGGCCCTCTCTCTAACATCCCTACACTTGTGTCACGTGAACGAAAGTTACTACGTCAGCGCGAACCGGTGTGTCGGAGAGGGGCAATAATTGCCGCTTCGTGCGATCCCAATCGATCTTTCCAATAATACAAATGCTAATTTCCAACCTGCACAATTTTCACCTGCTGGCCGGAAAATAATAGGCGCTCGCTAACCGCACTTTTTTTGGTCCCTTTACATTCCGTAATAAGGCTGTGCGCGTGTGCGTGCGTGCGTGTGTGCGTGTGTTTGTGCGGGTGCGTGCGTGCGCGCGTTTGCTCGTGTGCGTGCATGTGCGCATGCGTGTGTGCGTGCGCGTGCGTGTGTGCGTGCGTGAGTGCGTGTGTCTGGCACAGTAGGGGGCACAGGTGGTGCATCAGCCAGTCATCTCAGTCAGTCGACCTGTGGCACCTGGGTCTGCCCCGTGACCTCCTGCCGGCGGGCGTTCGATACTTCACGTGGCCTCAAGATGCACATGTCCTGGCACAGCGTCGTGGTGACGTCACCGCCACTTAGTGGCGAATGGCGGTTGTTATCTGCGCGTGTGTGCGTGCGGGTGCGTGCGTGCGCGCGTTTGCGCGTGTGTGCGTGCGTGTGTGAGAATGTGGAATCGTTGCACAGGAGGTCCGTACCTTAACCGGCTTCCTGGGCTCCTTTATCAAGCAGAGGACTACGCACGAGTGACGGAAGAGACGTCGGGAGAGTGGGGAGAGAGATAGGGGGAACATAGACATGGAGTAGGGAGAGAGGAGGTAGAGAGAGGGGGGTAGAGAGAGGGGGTAGAGAGAGGGGGTAAAGAGAGGGGGTAAAGAGAGGGGGTAAAGAGAGGGGGTAGAGAGAGGGGGTAGAGAGAGGGGGTAGAGAGAGGGGGTAGAGAGAGAGGGAAGGGGTAAGGAGAACAGAGCGTGAAATATTTTGTGAAATCTTTCATTTAAAAAAGGGGGGGAGTTACGTAAAGCAAAATATTGGAAAAAAACGAAGCAAAGTGCCGACTACACTGAGCATATTCTTGTTTCCTCTGATCGTAAAAAAGAGAGAGGAGAGAGGAGAAATAAAAACGCTGCGTGAATTGTCAGATCCCCACGGTGTTTAGTATTGTAGAGACTCCTCTGAGGCTCAAAGCAATCGGCTGCAGCGGCTCGCGGTTCGGATCCGGCATGACTCTCCGGATCCGGCATGCCGCCCCGGTAACTAACGCCATGTGGAGCATTCAGAGGCGAGGTAGTTAACATATCATAGCCACCGTGATGATGATGATGAGAGAGACACGCAAACTCCAAATATACAGCAGCAGGCATCGTCAGGATCGGGATCGAACCCACGACCTCCTGTATACCAGGCGAAGTAGTTAACATCTCCTAGCCACCGTGATGATGATGATGAGAGAGAGAGACGCAAACTCCAAATATACAGCAGCAGGCATCATCAGGGTCGGGATCGAACCCACGACCTCTTGCGGACCAGGCGAGGTAGTCAACATCTCCTAGCCACCGTGATGATGATGATGAGAGAGACACGCAAACTCCAAATATACAGCAGCAGGCATCGTCAGGATCGGGATCGAACCCACGACCTCCTGTATACCAGGCGAGGTAGTTAACATCTCCTAGCCACCGTGATGATGATGATGAGAGAGAGAGACGCAAACTCCAAATATACAGCAGCAGGCATCGTCAGGATCGGGATCGAACCCACGACCTCCTGTATACCAGGCGAGGTAGTTAACATCTCCTAGCCACCGTGATGATGAGAGAGACGCAAACTCCAAATATACAGCAGCAGGCATCAGGGTCGGGATCGAACCCACGACCTCCTGTATACCAGGCGAGGTAGTTAACATCTCCTAGCCACCGTGATGATGATGAAAGAGAGAGAGACGCAAACTCCAAATATACAGCAGCAGGCATCGTCAGGGTCGGGATCGAACCCACGACCTCCTGTATACCAGGCGAGGTAGTTAACATCTCCTAGCCACCGTGATGATGAGAAAGAGAGAGAGACGCAAACTCCAAATATACAGCAGCAGGCATCGTCAGGGTCGGGATCGAACCCACGACCTCCTGCACACAAGGCGAGGGAGTTAACATCTCACCAGAGTTGGGCACCACCACCGTGGTCTCCTTGTCCAGGCCGATGCCGACGGTAAAGGCGTTGAACTCGGTGATCACTTGCTGCGGCAGCGTGCGGCTCCGCGCTGATGAGGGAGACACACGCCGGTGGTGAGCGGTGAGGAGTGGTGATTGGTGAGTGGTGAGCGGTGAGCAGGGAGTGGTCATCGGTAAGTGGTGAGCGGGGAGTTGTGAGTGGTGAATAGCGGTGAGTGGTGAACGGTGAGTGGTGAGCGGGGAGTGGTGAGGAGTGGTGAGCGGTGAGGAGCAGTGACCGGTGAGCGGTGAGCAGGGAGTGGTGAGTGGTGAGCGGTGAGTGGTGAGCGGTGAGTGGTGAGTGGTGAGCGGTGATTGGTGAGTGGTGAGTGGTGATCGGTGAGTGGTGAGCGTGAGTGGTGAGGGTGAGTTGTGAGCGGTGAGTGGTGAACGGTGAGCGGTGAGTGGTGAGCGGTGAGTGGTGAGTGGTGAGCGGGGAGTGGTGAGCGATGAGTGGTCAGCGGTGATCGGTGAGCGGTGAGTGGTGATCGGTGAGTGGTGATGAGAGGTGATTGGTGAGTGGTGAGTGGTGATCGGTGATTGGTGAGTGGTGAGTGGTGAGCGGTGATCGGTGAGTGGTGAGCGGTGGCTAAAACTTTTGGTGGAGGCAGTGCTGGAGGGTGCAAGGGTTGAGTTGACTCTGGTGAATTGGTCGAACGGTATTGAGCAGTGCGACTTGTTTACCATCCTCACCACCGCCATCAATGCTATCGCCGCTATCGCCGCTATCATCCTCACCACCGCCATCACCATCATCCTCACCATCGCCGCCATCACCATCATCCTCACCATCACCGCCATCACCATCATCCTCACCATCACCGCCATCATCGCTATCACCCATCATCCTCACCATCATCGCTATCACCCATCATCCTCACCATCACCGCCATCACCATTGTCCTCACCATCACCGCCATCACCATTATCCTCACCACCGCCATCACTGCAATCACCACCATCCTCACCACCGCCATCACTGCTATCACCACCATCCTCACCACCGCCATCAATGCTATCGCCGCTATCGCCGCTATCATCCTCACCAGCACCATCATCATTAAATTTGTCATTGTGTTGTGACTGAATGACGTGGTGGAAGTGTGATGGGGATAATTAAGAAGACGTTGATCATCTCATAGCCCGTCATTATCATCCTGCTAGCTCCCCGCACGCCAGCTACCACCACGCCTATCCCTACCCCTATCACTACCCCAACACTATCACATCACTACCACAACACTAACCCTACCCCTATCACTACCCATATCACATCACTACCACAACACTATCACTACCCCTATCACTACCCCAGCCCCTCCTTAACCACTGTCACGTGTCCTCCTGTCACCACAGCTCCACCATCGTCACCACTTGTAATAACAAGCTAACTACTTTAGTAGCTCATTGAGTTATAGATAATTACTTTACAGCGCCTCGGAAATGGGGCGCTGCTCTATACATCTAGACGAGACGAGAAGAGGGACTTAGTGGGTGCGTTGGTGAGTTAGTGAGTGGGTAAGTGAGTGGGTGAGTGAGTGAGTGGGTGAGTAGGTGAGTGAGTGGGTGAGTGAGGCTGCCGTGCCTCAAATATTGGCAGAAGTAACCACCCCTTCTGAATGGTTGCCTGATGTGCCATCTGTGGAGGAAGTCTGAGGGGCGATCCGAAGTCTGAGACCAGGAAAAGCGCCGGGCAGAGACAATCTCCGAAGCGAAATGCTGAGGGAGGGTGGCATCTGTGTGCAGACTGCCCTACAGTACATGGGATCATCACAACTGTCTGGACCACAGGACGGGTCCCCCCTCTCTTCTCAGTGTGCCGGGAAAGGTCCTGGCAAGGATTATTCAACATCGCCTTACCAGGCACGCTGAGGAGAGTCCCAATGTGGTTTCAAACCAGGGCGGTCCTCCACGGATGCCTTATTCTCTGTCAGTCTGCTACAGCACAGGTGTAGGGAATTCCAACGACACCTACATCTCTGCTTTATTGACCTGGTCAAGGCCTATGGCACAATCAGTAGGCCTGGGCTCTGGGCAGTTCTTCGTGCTTTCGGAATCCATGACTTGGAGCCATTCCAAGTTCACCTTGGCTCCCACATTATAAAGCATCATCTTTGACCACATATTTCGAGAAGCTTTCCATGGCTGTACCGGAGGAGTTTTCATCTAGAACAGATACAATGGGAGGCTGATCGATGCCCCAGTGCGGTCGAGGGATGGCTCCCTATTGGTCAACCACGTTATGTATGCTGATGATCTGGTGATTGCTGCTCACTCAGAGGAGGAGTTGGAGGCGCTGCTGCTGAACCTGGAGTGTGCCACTCATAGGTGGGGCCTTACCATCAGCCCCACCAAAACTAAACACCTGGCTGGGTATGTTGTACCATCGGACACTCCACCCCCTCGGCTCCCCATTTGTGATGGAGCAGTTGTGGAGAGAGTGGAGTTTCCCATATATGAGCAGTGTGCTTATGACCAGCTCTGATGTGACAGCAGAAGTCTCACTCTGAATCAGTCGGGCGGCATTATCTTTTCATCGGCTGCACAATGCTGTGTGGAAGCTACCTGGTCTATCGCTCTGCACAAAGCTTCGGGTCTTCTCGGCCACAGTCATGCCCTCCCTTCTCTATCCTTGTGAAACGTGGACCACTATAATGGAACATCTGAGCCGGTTAGATACATTCAGGCTGGGATGCCTACGATCTATCCTGGGTTTAACCTGGCTGGATTGTGTCTGGACACATTCCCATCGGTGAGCTCCTCCAGCAGGCAAGGCTGCATTGGCTGGGTCATGTAGCCCACATGCCCAAGCTGCTTCTGTTTGGCCATATAGAGGGCGCTAAATAGGCACGACATTGGCTGGAGAAGAGATGGACTGATGCGTTACGGGAGGATGTGGAGCTGAGTGAACTTGCTGACGACTGATACAAGCAGTTTCAGGATCGACCTCTATGGAGGAGGCTCGTGAAGGACGCTACTGGGCAATTGAAGCCAGTCGTCCTCCAGCAACAACGGAGGACAGAAGAGCGACCATTACAACAATGCAGCAAGTTGGCACAGAAGAGGTACAGCTGGTGTGGATCTACCTGTCATCTCAGTCAGCCAACCCATGGCACCTGGGTCCTTCACGAAACCTCCTGTCAGCGAGCCTTCAACACCTCACGTGGCCTCAAAGTGCACCTAGCCTGGCACAGGCGCCATGGTGACGTCACCGTCACTTAGTGGCGAATGGCGGGCATTGGATTGAGTGAATGAGTGGGTGAGTGGGTAGGTGAATGAGTGGGTGAGTGAGTGCGCGAGTGAGTGGGTGAGTGCGCGGGTGAGTGGGTAAGTGAGTGGGTTAGTGAGTGGGTTAGTGAGTGCGTAGATTATTGGGTGAGTGAGCGGGTGAGCGAGTGAGTGAGCGGGCGAGTGAGCGGGCAAGGGAGTGGGTGAGTGCGCGGGTGGGTGCGCGGATGGGTGAGTGAGCGAGTGGGTGAGTGAGTGGGTGAGTGAGTGGATGAGTGAGTGGGTGGGTGAGTGAGCAAGCGGGCGAGCGAGTGAGTAAATTGGCCTTTACCTACTGATTAGTCCTGGTCATAAACTACTGTTGTTATTGTTGACATTGTTATTTTTATTATTGCTGTTGATAATGTTTGTTATTGTTATCATTGTTATTGCTATTATTATTATTAATGTTATCATTGTTACTATTATCATTGTTGTTATTTATATTATTGTTGCCATTGTTGTCATTGCTGTTATTATTGTTACTGTGGCGTGGTGTGTGAGGCATGTCGATGCAGCTGTGGGGGAAACTGAATCTTGTGGCCTGGGATGCCGCCCGCTTGAGTGACACCGAGGAGGGGGAGAGATCCAGGGGCAGTGTAGAGGGAGGTGGCCTATTGTAATTGGCCAGGTGTTTGACCAATCCGGGGAGAGCCCAGACTATAAGAGGAGGCGGCTAGACTCTGAGCGGTTCGGTTGGGACTCTGTGGAACAGCACCACCGTCAGGGTGGGCTACTACCACCTGCAATCAGCAAACGAGGGCAGCGCGGGAAAGCTTCACTCGGCTGTAGTGGGGAGCCAAGCCATGGGGTAGGGCTTGCCGAGCAGTGGCGTGAACAAGACCAGCAGCATTGGGGAGCAAGACCCCAACAGCCTGACATTGAATGTCTGGCATTGGGAGTGTGTAGTCTTTGGCTCCTTGGCTGTGTCTGAGTGTGCGCATGCATATGACTGCTCGATGGAACGTGGAGTGTGGTGGTGATGGTGGAATTTTGTAAAAGATGCTCCCTTCTCATGGAGGTGAGGACGGCTACGACTGAAGTTCATAAGGAGAGGGCACTTGATGGCGTGTCCAGGGCCAGGCTCTGTCAGAGTGCTGGATGTTGGAACACGAGCTCGTACTCCACCAGAACACTGTGAGACCAAGCTGTCCCAGTGTTAGGGTGTACAACCCTCTACATTGTGTTGGCGTGAGTCTCGGGGGGACGCGCTCGCAGTAGGTGTGATTGGGTGCGTGTGGGTGTTTTGTTAAGGGGCCGTCCATAAATGACGTGACGCGATTTTGGACGATTTTTGACCCCCCCCCCACTTCCTCACACGGCGTCACAAAAGTCAGACCCCCCCCCTTAAATATGACGTCACAAAGCCACCCCCCCCCCCAAAAAAAACATGCTTCAAATCGCTTTAAACTATTGTCATTGTAGTGCATATTTAATGTTGTAGGATAAAACATTTATTAAAAGTAAATTGAAGTAAGTAGAACGTGTCGTCTGTTTTTATTTAAAGTTGCGCATTTTGATGTGACGTCACATTTCTCAAACCCCCCCCCCCCCTCCTTGTCACACATCGTCACAAATGTCTGACTTCCCCCCCCTAAGTGCGTGACGTCATTTATGGACGGCCCCTTAGGGCACAAGTGTCCTTGTTTTGTGGATGACGTGACAGTTATTGTTGTCGTTATTGTTGTTGTCGTTGCTGTTATTGCCGTCATTGTTACTACTGTACTGGTAGGAACCTCCTGGTGACACCAGCCCACAGGGGATTATTGTGTCCGTCGTGCAGGGAGGGGCTGGGTTGGGAGGGAGGGGCTGGGTGGGGATGGGAGGGTGGGGAGGGGCTGGGTGCGGCTGGGTGGGGAGGGGAGGGTGGGGAGGGGCTGGGTGGGGAGGGTGGGGAGGAGTTGAGTGGGGAGGGAGGGGCTGGGTGGGGGGTGGAACGGGTGGGGCTGGGTGGGGAGGGGCTGGTCACCCCGTGGTGCCCTTATAAAACTCAACGTTTAACCTACTCACGCCGGATTGTGCCCGCCCTCACAGTCGGGCATATTTGCGGAAGACACCACGCCGCCGTTGACCCTGGCCATTGACCGAGCAACCCAACGTTCCTACCAGCTCCCTACGCAGGAATGTGTTTGTTGTGGTGGGTGCCCACCCAGCAGGTAGAGGATGCTCTCCCGTGTGCCGTTGCGGTATCCGTACTGCTGCATCACCGAGTAGCTCTCGTACTTGATCTTCAGGAACCTGTAGGTGGCGTTCGTGTCGCCCACGAAGTCTGAGAAGGGCTGGCTGCTGTTGTCTGGGCAACGAAACAAAACAGAAATCGTGGCTTGTCAATAACAACAATAACAACAACAACATTAATAATTTATATTTTACATTTTTGTAAGGTGCCCGTGGGATCCCGAATGTGTTGCAAGCGAGGATCGGAAACCGATTTCCGGCCTCGTGCGATGACGTTCGGTGGAGACTGTGACGTCACGCAATGCAATGACGTCACACAAAGTATGGATTCCCCGTGTAGCCTTTAACAGACCTTTGGGGCAAGTGCTGTTAGCGAGCACCTGTGAAAGTCGGCACAGCACGCGAGAGGCTGGGTGGCCAGCACCACGCCCGGCGGCCTTTGTCTCCCCTCAGTGGTTATAGTGACTACACACCACACCAGGTACTCATTTGAGGCTGAGTCGATCTAGGGGAGGCCTAGAACCAGTTCAGATATTTGTCACTGGCGTTGGCTGTGAGCAGGAATCTACTTTGGGTCGCCTCGTTCGTAGCGCAGCGGGATAAAGTCTACACTACCACTCCCCATTAACGACGCAATGACGTAACACACATGCCCATGCCACGTGACGTAGTGCGTGTGTGTGGGGAGATCGGTGGCGCAGCGGTTAGCACTACGCTGTGCTACAAACCGGGCAAATCTGAGTTCGATTCCTGCTCACGGGCAACATCAGTGACGATTATCTAAACCGATGGTCTCCCCTAGGTCAACTCAGCCTCAAATTAGTACCTGGTGCGGTATGTAAGCATTGCCACTGGGGAGGCAAAGGCGATCGTGCTTGCTGCTGGCCACCCTCCCCCTTGTGTGATGTGCCGGCTGTCATAGGTGCTCTCTAACAGTACTCGCCCCTGCCGCGTGTGTGTTAAACTTGTGCGGTGCCAAGTGTGTAGTGTAGTATGTATTTGAAACTTATTTGTCACCGTACGTAGCCAATTGCGCTAATCCGAGGTGTCGGGGAGGAGAAGTACAACAAACTAAACAAAACAGTTCTAAAGAAACGCGTTTTCAAGTTAGTATCATAGTGTCGTGTGTGTATTGTATAGCGAGTATAGTGTCGAGTGCAGTATGTATGTTGAACTTCTTTTGCACCGTACATAGCCAACCGTGCTAATCGGAGGTGCCGGGGGGAAGGACAACAAACTAAACACAACAAACAGTTTTAAAGAAACGAGTTTGTAAATCTAAATATTGGATGGGGAAGAGCGTTCCAGACAGCCGCAGACAGAGCGCATCTGAAAGTGCCGCGCGATAATGATTGGACCACCGTCCGTGTCCGACGGTTAGCCAAAAGCTGGCGCTGCTGCTGCGAGGATGATGAGCGGAGTTTGCGCGATGATGGTTTATTGCTCTATCATGGGACCTTTTTTGCCAGAATCAAAGTATGATCAATAAAAAGAGGTTTTTACCCTTTCTGGCAAAAAAACAGGTGTTAAGAGTGTTTATTTTGCATGTTCACCACAAGCACGTGTGGTTAATGTAGACTTGATTCCTTGGAAAAGTTTTTTATTTGGTGTTTGAACATCTTAACACCACTCCTGTTTAATTGCCAGAAAGGGTAAAACCTATTTTCATTTTTCATACTTTGATACCGGCAAAAAGGTATCCCATGACATAGCTGCTCACCCCGAGCAATACAATGCTCTGATACGTGCATTGTCTTTGTACTGTTCGCCTTCTGCCATTCTCTGGTTTATTGCTCTCCTTGACGAGATCGGCAGCGAGGTCATCGTGCGTGGTTCATTGGGTCGATGATGTTCGATGTGCAATTGGGAGTCGGGTCGCCACTGGCTCTTGGGTGGTGCGGTAGCGGCAATCGACTGCATCATCACTCCCCCGACAAAAAGACCACACACACAAAGAGAGAGGGAGACAGAGTGAGTAGTACACACGAGGTGGTCGTACCGGGCACGAAAGGAATCAGGATCTTCTCCTTTGCGAACAGGTTGAAGTGCTTTGTTTCACGAATGCACATTCCCATCCTGAGCGGGATCGACATCAGGCACAGCACAGGTCATCAGGTTACCGCGCTCACTCAATTTATTCGTAGCAATGCCGGAACCCAACAACGCTCATGTATTTCGCGACATTTCCTCTTTGAGGGAAATCATCAACTAAGCAATGTGCCTACGCTGCTGTGTGTTCACAGGCGCAGTCTGCAGCGGTGCGTTTCAAAGTAGGGAGCGTGGTGATTGCTGTGTGGTCTAACCGAGGGGCACCCCCAGTAGTAGCTGTCCCTGTGCATCAAACTGCCAGTAGCGGGTGGCGATGTTGCCATGCGTTTCCCAATTGAGTCGTGTAATTTGGAAGGAAAAAAGACTGATGTATCTGGGAACAGCTGCTACGGGGAGGCTAGATTGGAGGAGAGGGGGGAGATGGGGGGCGACTCACATGAAGGAGGCTCCGTGGATGACCACCGTGCCGTTGGCACCCTCCTCCACGTGGTACACGCTGCTGTTCACTTTGTGCATCAGCGCCAGCAGCTCGCTGTTGTCGGATGCAACGGCCACGCCGTACCACGTGCCCAGGAACTGGCAAGCAACAGAAGGGCGGTTGATGTGTCACCAGGTGAGGCTCACCTACACAGTGGCTCGGAGATGTTCACTGCCTCGCCTGGTGTACAGAAGGTCGTGGGTTCAATCCTGACCCTGACAATGCCTTGCTGTATATTTGGAGTGTGTGGTGTCTCCCCGTGGCCGTGTGGATTTTTTTAGCTGGGTCCTCTGGGTTTTTCCCTTGACATTTAGATTCGACTTCACGCGTTTAAAGTGTTTGGCAGCCGCTATAAATTTCCACGAAATAAGCCACTTCGCTGAGATATCGTTTGTGATAGCCACGTCGCTTCTGAAAAATAGCTACATAGCTCAGTGGGGCCTTAAGTGGTAACAATAAAAGTAATATTTACAATTTTTAAAACACGCTTTTATTAAATGTATCGTACTAGTAATGGCAGAACTCCACGCAGAACCGGCCCTAGACCTTTAGGGGCCCTAAGCAAAATTTGGTTGGAGGCCCCTTTGATGTATGATTTTTTTCACCCACTAGCTCGCAGTGACTCTAGGGGGCCCTCTGCTGGCCACGGGGCCCTTTGCAATTGCCGCTGCGCTACGAACGAGGCTGGGCCGGCTCTGACTCCACGACTCCATGAAGTGGCCCCGAGGCTTGCCATAACGTAAGGGACCGTGGTGATTTACAGCTAACGTGAGTTGAGCATGGAGAATTAGACCCAAGGCGAAACATAACATATAAAAAAAGATTGTTTAAAAATATATATTTTTAATTTGAATGATAGAATATAGTATTGTCACCAGTATGACATAAGTATACCAAGTTTGCAGTCGATACGACATTGGGAAGTGGGTTGAAATTGATGATTTGAGGATACGACAACAGACAGAGTGAGTTTATCAAAAGCGTGTAAAAGAATGTTTTAAAATACAGTAAAAACCTTGGATTGCGAGTAACCTGGTCTACGAGTGTTTTGCAAGACGAGCAATTTTTTTTATAAATATCAATTTGATAAACGAGCGAGGTCTTGCAATACGAGCAGGACATATCCGCTTTGTCTGCCGAGCATCACGTGATCACAACTGATATACGAGTGCTTTGGATTACAAACACGTTTCCGGAACAAATTAAGCTCGCAATCCAAGGTTTTACTGTATATGTTTTAGATTTTTTATGATATAATATAATCTTGTCATCAGTATGACATAAGTAAACCAAGTTTGCAGTCGATAGCACATTGGGAAGTGGGTAAAAATTGAGTTACAAGATTTTTTGGGGGATACGACAACAGACAGAGTGAGTTTATCAAAGCGTATAAAATAATAAAATTTAATAAATAGAACAGTGCGTAATAGTGTATCACAGCGGTGTGCGTGGTGTTAACAATGAAGTACAGGCATAGCCGGTTTAGGCCTAAGGATGTGTTCCTGAAAACGATAACGTGAATGGAAAGTAACTTACATCGAAACAAAGAGATTCAGTGGTGGATGGTGACGTGGTACAGAACCTGCTACTAGTAGTAGCAGTGCCGGATTATCCTAGTAGCAGAAGTAGCTACATATGCTACGGGCCCCGCACTTTCAAGGGCCCCACACGAAATGCTTTCAAGCTATCAATTTCGGTTCAGTGATTCTGCACTTGCTCGATTACTATAGCACTATACTGCCTTCAACTTTTATGAACGACTCGGTGTTTAAGGTTAGCGATTTGTCGTATTATCTGGCTGTTTAGCAAAGGAAAAAAAATACTTTACGATGCAAGAAAAAAACGTGTGCTTTCATATTTATGGATTTTTTAAGCCCCCTTGATAACATATGCTACAGGCCCTGCAATAGCTTCATCCAGCACTGAGTATAAGTAGAACCTACTCCTACAGACGGGATAGTGGATCGTAACATGGTACAGAACCTACTGCTACTGCTACCAACTAAGTAGTCTAGAGATAGGATGGTGGATTGTAACATGGTACAGAACCTCCTACTACTAGTACCACCACTAAGTAGTCTAGAGATAGAATGGTGGATTGTAACATGGTACAGAACCGACTACTACTAGTACCACTAAGTAGTCTAGAGATAGGATGGTGGATTGTAACATGATACAGGACCTACTACTACAGTACCACTAAGTAGTCTAGAAATAGGATGGTGGATTGTAACATGGTACAGAACCGACTACTACTACTAGTACCACTAAGTAGTCTAGAGATAGAATGGTGGATTGTAACATGGTACAGAACCTACTACTACTAGTACTATTAGGGATGGGATGGCGAATAGTAACGTGGCCCAGCACCTACTACTACTAGTAGATACTACTACTAGTAGATACTAGTAGTAGTAGATAGATACTACTATTAGTAGTAGATACTTTCTACTACTAGGAGATAGTAGTAGATACTACTAGTAGTACTACTAGTGGTAGTAGTACTACTAGTAATAAATGTTTTCTCCTACAACATCAGAGTGCAGCGCCACATTAAATAAGCACTACAATGACAGTAGTTTAAAGCGATTTGAAGCATGTTTTATTTTCAAAATGTAAATATGGTTTTGGGGGGGGGGGGGGGGCAGAGCTTTGTGACGTCATATTTGAAGGGGGGTCTGACTTTTTGTGACGCCGTTTGACGGGGGGGGGGGGATCAAAAATCGTCAAAAATCGCGTGACGTCATTTATGGACGGCCCCTTGGGCTGCAGTAGGTCGTGTGGAGAGTTTACATCGGGGTGTTCCTGTATACGTTTGATTTTCATCAATACATTTAACTGACCTGTTCAGTATATCATCAGTTCTCTAAACCATATTAGATATCTAATTGTATATAGTGCCGACATTTGACGGTATATTGATCAAAAGAAAACACGTGTAAATAAATCAAGCAACAAATCTCATTTTTTCCATATTGTTGATAATCTCTGGCGAGTTGCTAAAGGTGCATTATGCATCATGGAGGAGTTTACTTTGTTGTAGATTAGGTCGCTTAAATATAAATGCGTCGTTTTACTCTTTGGTTCTTTCGGTAAAGCCAAAGAACCAAAGAGTATGGATTCCTGCAGCCACGAAAGCTTGAAATCAATATTTCGTCGTTATATTTACGCCATTTAATCCCCCTCCTCACCCACCTTTATTCTGGTTAATATTGGTCACGACAGCACAACTACCCCTACCACCACCACCACCAGCGCGTGTGAAGCTGCATTACGCACGAAGGGCACAGAGGGGAGTGACTGTCTGGCCAGGGCCGAGTGCTTTGTTAAGCCCGGCTGACGCGGACCGCTACCCGACCGGCCGGGTCGGACAGGAGGTCGATTGGGCAGCTTTGGCGAGGGCGTTTGGAGGCGCGGAGGGAGGGAGGGGAGGGAGGTTGCGAGCGGCCGCAGAACTCGCGCGGGTGGCTGGGGAACAGAGACTCGAGAGAAACCGGCATGCTGGCGAAGACGGTGGCGGCGGTGGTGGTGATGCGCTGATGATGATGATGCACTGATGATGATGATGCACTGATGATTATGGCGACGATGATAATGGCAATGATGCACTGATGATGATGATGGCGATGATGCACTGATGATGGCGGCGATGCACTGATGATGGCGGCGATGCACTGATGATGATGATGACGATGATGCACTGATGATGATGGCGATGATGATAATGATGATGGCGATGATGATAATGATGATGGCGACGACGATTGATGTTGATGCACTGATGATGATGGCGATGATGATAATGATGGGAATGATGATTGATGCACTGATGATAATGCTGATTGGAATGACGATTGATGTTGATGCACTGGTGATGATGGCGATGGTTATGATGGTGATGTTGATAATGGCAATGATGATATTGATATTGATTGTTTGAAGTGATGATGATGATGACAACGACGACGTTTGCGAGAGGTGACTGCACCAACCTTCGGCACCTGCAGCTCATCCGCGTCCCCATGGGACCCCTTCGTGGACGCGGCTTCGCCCACGAGGCAGCCGACGAGCACGCACGTGACCACTGTGACGAGGGTCGATTGTCCTGGCATGGCGCACGCAGCTTGAGCTTCTTTCGCACCGTACGTAGCCAACCGCGCTAATCGAAGGTGCGGTGTTGAGTCTATGGGTAGTGTTGAGTCTATGGGCAGTGTTGAGTCTCTGGGTAGTGTTGAGTCTATGGGCAGTGTTGAGTCTCTGGGTAGTTTGTGTGTGTGTGTTGAACCTCTTTTGCACCGTAAGATGCCAACCGTGCCAATGAGGTTGCCTGTAGGGAGGGGGGGGGGAGAGGGGGGAATGACAAACACACGAAAAACACAGAGACACGAAAAAAAGCAGTTTCTCAAGAAAAGTGACGACTCCAACAGCGCGCAACTCGCAGTGGCTTCCTAACTATCGGCGCAGGGGGAAGAGAGCGTTCCAGACGGCCGCTGAAGCGTATCTGAGAGCGAGCGATCCGGCAAACCACGTCTGTCGTGGGTGCGAATCTCTGTAGACTGCGACAGCAGCAGCATAAGCGCTAGGGCATGGACCGCGCTCACCCCCTGTAAGCTGATAAGCAGGGCTGATAGCAGCAGCAGCATTATCAGCGCTGACCCCGCAGCCTCTGTTTGCACGGCCCTGGTGGGGTGGGTGGTGGACAGAGAAATCCGAGGCATTGCACAACCACCGTGTTTGTTGAAAATAGTGGCTCTGTGGTGTATAGTGTAGTATATGGTGTATAGTGTAGTGTATTGTAGTGTATAGTGTAGTATATAGTGTAGTGTATTGTAGTATATAGTGTAATATAGTGTAGTGTATTGTAGTGTATGTTGTAGTGTATAGTAGTGTCGTGCGTAGCGTATAGTATCGTGTATATTGTAGTGTAGTGTATAGTGTAGTCCAGTGGTTCTTATCCTTTACTGCAGCCTTGCAACCCGTTTGGTTCTCGACCGCTAGACAACAATGCACAGTGATAATAAACACATCGGGTTTGATGAAACAAAGTAAGTTATCCTCACGTATCCGTGCTTAATTTGTGTTTTCGATTATTTACCTTTAAAAAAAAATCTGGCCATGTGTCGCACCCCCAGGGGGTGCGTGATGTGCCCAGGGTAAGAACCATTGGGCTTAAACGTTTTCACCCTGTCATGGGACCTCCTTTGCCAGTACCAAAATGAGAATAGGGTTTCCCCTTTTTTCTGGCAACAAAACAGCTGTGTTAAGATGTTAACTGAAACCTTTTTCAAGGAATCATGTCTGCATTAACCACAATTCTTGTGAGCAGAATGCAAACCGTACCGTGTGTTTAGAAAGCTGCGGCAATAATCAATGGGGGGAGGGGTAGTGGTGGGGGAGGAAAGCTGCAGCACTTTGGGAAAAAATTAACAACGCTGACGGGATCTCTTCGGGACAGTCACGACGAGGATTTGTTATTGGGGCGCCACGGTGGTGAGGAGATGTTAACTACCTCGCCTAGTATGCTGTATATTTGGAGTTTGTGTCTCTTTCTCTCTCCCTGTGATCGCGTGCATATTTCTCTGGGCCCTCCGGTTTTTCCTTAGACATTTAGAAACATGCGTTTAGAGTATTTGGCTGGAATACATTTTCACGTGATAAGCCACTTGGTCGAGCTCTCATTTGTGATTGCCAGGTCGCTTCTGAAAAAAAGATATACAGCTCAGAGGGGCTTACCTGCTAAAATAAAAATGGTTTATAGTTTTAGTTTAGTTTAACCCAGATGACCCCCTGGTTCAAGAGATTACACGAATAACTGTCCCATTGGTGACGAGGCAGTTGTGGAGAGAGTGGAAATGTTTTCATACCTGTGCTTATGACCAGCTCTGGTTTGACAGAAGAGGTCTCGCTCCGAATAAGTTGAACGGCATTATCTTTTCATCAGCTGTGTGGTAGCAACCTGGTCTGTTGCTCAATACGAAGCTTCAGGTCTTCTTGGAACGACCATGCGCTTCCTTCACTATGTTTGAAAATGTGATCCTCCCTATTAGAACATATTCGCCGGCTAGAAACATTTACGCTGGCCTGACGACGATCCATCATAGGTTAACGAGGCTGGATTGTGAGAGGAGCTCACAAATCCTTGAAAGATCTGGACACAGTCCCATCATTGAGGCAAGACTGGCTGCGTTGGCTGGGTCATGTAACCCGCATGTCCAACCACTGCATGCCCAAGCGGTTTCTGTTTGGCCGGATAGAGGGGGCTAAACGGGCGCGGCACGGGCCGGAGAAGAGATATTGTACAGAAGAATATGGACCTGAGTGGACTTGCCGAAGACTGGTTCCCGCGGTGTCAAGATCGTCCTCTGTGGAGGAGGCTCGTGAAGGACGCTGCTGCTGCGCTGTTGGAGCCAGTCGCACTCCAACAACAGCGGAGCGCACAGGAGCGACGCTCACAACAACGAGCGGAGCGCCGGGCGGCTACAACGCAGAGAGTTGGCACAGTACAGGGCACAGGTGGTGCATCTACCAGTCATCTCAGTCGGTCAACCCATGGCACCTGCTGGGTCTGTCCCGTGGCCTGCTGCCAGCGAGCTTTCAACACTTAACGTGGCCTCAAAGTGCACCTGCCCTGGCACAGGCGCCGTGGAGACGTCACCGTCACTTAGTGGCGAATGTCAAGTTGGGTGGGTGCCCAGCACCACGCCCAGCCTCCTACAGTCTGTTCAGCCTATAAGGGGGATCTTTGTCTTTGTATGCGTAGTGACTGTGAATGTCACTGTGTGGTGCCGGGCCTACGAAGCCACGGCAGATAGATAATGTGTTGTCATTATGGGAAGCCCGCTTACTGGGCGTAGTACCAGCCATAGCGGGGCTTGGGTGAGCACTGGTCAGCGCGGAGGCACCACGTACATTGAATTTATTTTATTTTATACCTATGTGACTTTACCGAAAGGAGCAAAGAGTATGGATCCCTGCAGTCACAAAAACTTCAAATCTACACGTACAGTGTGCAGTGCGGGCTCCCAGTGAGGGAGTCAGAGGGAGCGTCAACCAGCCAGGGTTACGTTGGGGCATGATACGCTGGTTGACCTGCCGAAACGTGACCGGATGAGATTAGAGGGGGGGCACCGGTGGACAGGGGCCGCTGGGCGGTCACGTGGTATAAAATAGCTCTCGGGAGCCTTTGGGAAAGAGCTCGAGAGATGTAGAAGGTGGGCGGGGCGAGGAGCGGAGCCAGCCCCAGCCCAGGCCGATATAACGGGGGCCCGTTGAGGGGCTCGGGGTTCTTTGGGTTACTGGTGAAGAAGATCCACGTTGGGTAAAAGAAGCCTCTAGCCACACGGTCCGGGAACCAGCTTGTGGTCCGGGTCGGGATAGCGAACCGTGTCTAGTTCTGCCGTAGCGTGGCTAGATGGGCATTCAACACCGAAGTGTAGGTTGTGTTGTGTCATGTTGAGTTGGTGAAATAAAGTGTTGCTCCCAAAACAACGTCTGCGACTCAGTTGGACTCACTACATATGAATCTCTGTGTGACAGTAAAGCAAACAGTACACACAGTACACACGGTACACACGGTAGCTGGTATGCAGGAGGTCGTGGGTTTCGACCCTGACGCCTTGTGTATATTTACAGTTTGCGTCTCTCTCTCCCCGTGGTCGTGTAGAATTTTTTCTCTGGGTCCTTTTTCCCTCCACAATTTAGAATTGACATCACGCGTTTCGAGCATTTGGCTGCCGCTGTAAATTTACACGTGATTTATTTAGCGAATGCATTTTGCACCTGACCGTCATACAGTTAGAGCACCAGATACACAAGAAAAAGAAATACGTTTGTCAATGTTATAATGGGACTCCTCTACTTACGAACAAGTTATGTTCCAGAAGTCTGTTCGTAAGTCGATTTCTGCGTAAATCCAACTTTACTCGTGTTGTATAATCTCCTGTAGATGTAATGCTACTGGTTCTTCATGTTCTGCAGATGTAGATGATATCACTGCCATCTATTGCGCTGCAGTTGAACTTACGACTCTCGGTCCGAACAGGCAACTGGACATATGAACAGGTTTGTTCGTATCTCTGAAAGTTCGTAAGTCGAATATCCGTAAGTAGAGGAATTCCTGTATATATGTTATGAGTGCACATAAGCTCCACGTAGCTACATAGAGCCATGTATGACAGCTTCCTCCTCCACCTCCCAGCACGTGCAGGGCAACCACCAGTACCGCCCAGCACAGCCCTAACAGACTTCACAGCCGATGTTTGTGTGGCCAAGGCGGTCTCCTGCTGGCCCCGCATTCACACAGGCGGGGGCTGCCACTTAGCAGTATTACGATGGCCACATCGATGTTTGGAAGCAAAGACAAAGATCCCCCATGTAGCCTTAACAGACTGTTGGGGCAATTGCTGTTAGCGAGCACCTATGAAGGCCAGCATGGCACACGAGGGGGTGGGTGGCTAACACCACGACCGGCCGCCTTTGTCTCCCCAGTGACAATGTTGACCTGAGTCGACCTAGGGGAGGCCCAGTTTAGATAATCGTCACTGGTGTTAATCGTGAGCAGGAATCGAACTCGGGTCGCCGGGTTCGTAGCGCAGTGTAGCGCTAACCGCTACCATACTGCTCCCCACTATTGCTACCCACGGGTACACACACAGACCCTGGCCCTGATCAGACACCGGTTCATGCGGTTCAACTGAACCTAAGTGATCACCTTGGGGAGATCGAAGCCAGTGCAATGTGGACAGATGGATCCCCGATGAAGCCCTTGTTGGGCAACACATCCACGCATCTCCATTTATTGTACCCAGGGAGTGCGGGTAATCCCGCATACTCGGGAGTATGCGGGCTGTGGTAATGCCCCCCACACTGGGTTGTTTGGGCTTCAGATGCGCACGAATTGAAGGCTTGAAGGTATCGATATGAAGGGGTAACTCTGGTTCTGCGTGTTACCTTCCACGTGATGATGATAAAGCCACTTCTTTGAGTTGCTATCATTTGTGATAGCCAGGTCGCTTCTGAAAAAGAGAGCTATATAGATCAGTGGGCCTTACCTGGTAAAATAAAATAGTTTAACTGAGTCTATGACAGTACGCACACGAAGGCAGGGTGGAGGGAATTTGGGGGGCGGTGCCACCCGAGGCATTGCCTGCGCAACGAGCGCCAGCCCGGAGTAGTCCCCACCTCAGGCAGTCCCTCGTGCGCCATCATCGCTCGACTTTCTGCCATCGTCACTAGAAGCTGCTCGCAACTCCTCCGAGGGCGTGTCATGCAGCCCTCTGCCACGCCGCTGGGCTTGGCCGCTGGCCTGGTGGGGCCACCAGCGGCCAGTCTCGCTATCTCCCTCTGTGTCCTCCTCCCCGAGCGGGCAGCAGCTGCCAATTTATAAGGTCGGGGGCCGACGGGCAGTGGCTCGCTCCCCAGACTCAAAGTCCAAATCCCAGGAGGAGCGGCGGGCCTGGGGGCAGAGGGGCAGCCCCGAGCCGCACTTGGGGAAGCCCCCTGAGGGGACCTACTCTTCCCCCTCCGAATGCATCGGCGGATGCCACAGGCTCATGATTCCACAACTTGGCTGGGAAACCACTCCGC